TCTGTTTTACAGATCATGCTTATTTGTGTGTAGACTATTGGTTCCTTGCTTCTTGGGCAGATGCACTCCAGCTATGAAGGAAACCTTCAGTTAGTCGACTCTTACAACATGCTTGTTAGAAAGGCAGTGACTCTGTTCTGGTTTCCCCCCATAATGGGGCCATGGAACCCACATAGGGAACAATAGGAAGCTTCTTCTTCTTGGCATTCACCAGCTGTTAACTCCGGCAGAAAGTTCTGGTTGTTTGCCCACTTCTGGACTTCAGTCCTGTTCCAGAACCTGAGTGTTGCGTGTGCATCCATTTTACAGATCTGACTAATTTGTATGCAGACTGTTGGTTCCTTGCCTCTCAGGCAGACGCACTCCGACTTCAAAGGAAGCTCCCAATTAGTCGACTCTTACGATATGCTTTTGGGTAGGCAGTGAGTCTATTCTTGTTTTCCCTATAATAGGGCCTCAGAACCCACACAGGGATAAATGGGAAGCAAATGAATTGATAAGATAGAACATTCATGAGACACTTAAGATGCATATTTTTGACAGAGGCCATGAGTGCTAGATGATTCTGTTCATGTTTTGGTAAAGATTACACAGGGTAGACAGAATGGAAAACTAGACTGTGAGCCCAGTGTGGTATATAAGAGCATGACAAGATGATGATGATGATGAAAATGATGATGCGTTGCAGCTTTGATTGAACTTGTTTAATTTCTTGGTGTTGAGCAGATGAAGATACATGTTGTCACTTGCCTTTTCGAGTGATGGCTGAAAACAATCTGCCTAAACAAGATTTTGCACCACCATGGCTCAAGTTCCCGTCTACTGATTCATCGGTTAGTAAGAGAACTTACGTTTTGTTTTAACATTTGAAGTATAATCATCATCATCATCATGTAGCAGGTCCTTTTGCAGAATGTCGCTCTCATCATGGTCTGCCTGAAAGAAACTCGGTCTCTCGCCAGTTCTCCCGCCTCATGTGCTTTCATACTCAAGGAGTCACTTATATCCTGTGCCCATCTTCATGTTGGTCGGCCCCTGCCCCTCCTTCCTAGTACTGTGCCTTCTGTTATTATTTTTTCCGATCTGTCGTGGCGCTTGATACGTACAAAATATTTCAGCTTCCTAAACAGGATGCTGTTTATTAGCCAATCTTCCTTGATGTTCAGATCTTTCAAGATGTCAGCATTTCTCCTCTTCTTTATCCAAGATATTCTGAGAATCTTTCTATATCATTTCAGCTCAAAAGCCCCTCTTCTCTTTCTTAAGGACTGGGAGATAGTCCACGACTCACATCCATATGTTGCTACAGTGAAGATGCATGCTCTCAGAATTCTAATTTTGATCTCCTTGAACCAGCATTTATTAGTCTTGTTTATGTAAACTGCAGGCTGTATCCAGTTTTTCTTCTTTGCTTTCACTGGTTGTAAACTCTGACAGAAAGCTCTGGTTATTTATCCACTTCTGGATTTTGTTCTTGTTATGAGTTAGATTATTTTCACAGCACTCGGGACCCATCCATAGGCACTCAGATACCTCTATCAGCATATTCCTCAGCGTCGCACGGTTAATAGTGCCAGTCCTATGTCGGTTAACAAGACTGTGTTCTTGTTCCAGAAGTTGCTTATTCAACTGGTGGCCCCCGGGCCAAATTTGGCCTGTGAAAGCATAGTAAGTGGCTCGCATATTATTGCCAGTTGAATTGCATTAATGATCTTTTCATGCTGGGGCGCTGGCTGGTGATAATGCCCATTTTAAAAATTGTGGCCCCTGACTAGTGTCTAACATCATTGCCCACCTGATAACAATTATTTACCACTTCCTATGCCTCAAGTATTTTCATACCCAACTCTTAACTATTATATTTGACTTGAACTGGGGAGGAGGGGGGGGGGGGGCTATTGTGTAGCGGCTAGGCGCTCGCCTGGGGATCTAAAGTTCGCGATTTCCAGTCTTGGCGGAGCCGGACTTTAAGAAAAAAAAATTATCTTGGCTTCCAGATTGTCCTAACTTTAAATGGGTACCAGGTAAAGTCTTGGTAAGTGAAGGTGGTCGGCTGAGGCTGATCATATCACCTACTGAGTGCCGATTGGTATAGAAAAGATAGCTCTAGCCATATAGGCATATAAAAGGGTCCTTTATTTTTTACTTTGTATTGAACTGAAGCTGAACTGCAGAAAACTGTCATTAAAACTTGTCTGCCAGTATCAGTTAAGGAAGCAGTCATAAGAAGAAGAAGAAATGGAGTCGTACCTTTTGTCATATTCATCTTTGCTAACACATGGCATTAATCACAACACTTCTGTCCATTACAAAACCAGTTATAGTAACCGTAGATTTGAAGAGTGGGCACCAACAGGCTTAGCACTCAACATGGATGATGATGTTGATTAATGTATTTTTAAAATTTAAAATATCCAGAAACCATGAGTTGTTAACCCTTTGGCTCAGTACTGTGGATGCCGCAACCCTTCAGCCTTGATTCCATGATAGATACCGTAAATCTGGGAGAAATGTGGCTATTCTGCCATCCCCCTGGTGTGAATCCGGACAAAAAGGAGTTCGTCACCCGGTACAGTGAATCCTTCCTTGTTGACACAAATTCCAAAGAGCTGAAAAATCAGTTGCTGAGGACTTGGGTCTCTTGTGGTTGTTGCACATTTAGTTTATTTATCTGTTCGACAAACAAGCGGAACTTATTTCAGTTATTTTTCACATTTAGTTTATTTATCTGTTCGACAAAATGAACATGGGTCAGCGGGGGCAATACATGCTATACTTGATTTTTGGTTGGCTGTGAATGTTGAATTAAGAATCAACATCACAGCACTCAGGATACTCCCATAAGTGCTCCACCCCCATCTTCAGCAGCAAGTGAAGAGTTCCAATTCCGATGGCACCAGTAGCCGTCTGATTGTGTTTCCGTCTCGCCCTTTCTCTAAGTGTTGAGCGTCTGCCAGATCCCCTGGTAACTCCTCGCAGTGCCATTCTCCTCAAACCGTTTGTTGGCTGCGAGTCCTTTGGAAAACCAAGTTTGAACTCAAGTCTGTGTTGTTTTCTCTGTGTGGGTGCCGGAGCTCCACTTATGGGGGGGGGGGGGTGGTGGAGGTGGCATAAGACTCAGTCACTGTTCCTTAACAAGCATGCTGTAAAAGGCGATTAATTGAGTATTTGTTGGAATTGGCTTCGTAGGACCAAAAGATGCAGATATAAAATCCGAGCTGTATCCCAGTGTATGTTCCCAGACTTGATTGTGGGAACACAAGAATAGACCCACTGCCTCCCCAACACATACGTCATAGGAGTCGACTCATTGGGGGCATCCTTCAAATTATTTATATTTCCCACCCGGTGTGTGGCGAAAAGTTTCGTTTTCGGGTGTAGTCAGGGGCCCTAAATAACCCAACAGTTGAGCTGGGTTTTCTGGGACTTGTGCCCTGGTGCTCCTCCTCAGAATAGTGGCTCTTTGTTGGTGTTGGTCACTCGTCGTACGGTCCTGGTGGGATTTAATGTCACTCGGCCGCATCCTTTGAAGTCAGAACATCACTTGGTACGATCATCTTTTCTCAGAGGTTGTTCTTGGTGCCATTGCTCCATCTTTACCTGGTCCTTCTCTTCCTCTGGGCTCATTATATTCACTATAGTAGTTAAAATCGGATGGTTGACTCTTATGACATGCTTGTTAGGGAGGCAGTGGGTCTGTTCTTGTTTTTCCCAAAACGGGGCCCCAGAACCCACACGGGGACAAACAGGTGCTAAAATGGGAAATAAAAGACCCTGAGGATGCCAAAAGAAACTCTCCCCTGTGTGGGTTCCGGGGCCCCATTGTGGGGAAAACAAGAATAGACCCACTGCCTCCCCAAAAGCATGTTGTAAGAGTCGACTAACTGGGGAGCTTCCTTTGAAGACGGAGTGCGTCTGCCGGAGAGGCAAGGAACCAACAGTCTGTATTCAGGAGAATGAGATCTGTAAAACTGATGCACACGCAACACTCAGGTTCTGGAGCAGGACTGCAGTTCAGTAGTGGACGAGCAACCAGAACCTTCCGCCAGAGTTTACAGCTGGTGAACGCGAAGAAGAAGAAGAAGAAGAAAAGAAACTCTAAAATGAACACTGATGAGAGAGGCCAGAGGTGCTGGGCTGGATTCCATCTATGATAACAGAGAGACTACTCGTGATGTGGAGGAATAGACTACGAGCCCTGTGTGACATATGATGGCACAACAGTTCAGTGATGATGATGATGACTTAATATCAGAGAAGGCCAAACCATTTGATATTTTAAACTAGTACATCCTTGAACAAAATGAAAATACCTTGAAAAACCCTTGAAAAATGTTGGTGAATTTGGATACGAACTGTTTAATAAAAGGAAATAGCTGGCCAGATGGTTAGAACACTGGACTGTCAGATCAAAGACCTGGATTTGTAAAGTGACAGAGGTTTTTTCCCGCCGGTGGGGATGGAATAAACATCCTAACCGGCACAGTCCATGACTCCTACCACACTCGCTCTGCATTCCAAAAAAACCTCAGGCTGACTTTCCCTTGTCCATATTTTGGCTAATTTCCACATACAGTATGATATTTTCAATCTGTATCTGTGAAAATATGTTTTGATTTTAGCCCCCAAAATTATTTTTCCTTTCATCTTAAACTAGTATGTAACTACAGAAAGCGTTGTTTCCAGCAGAAATAATATAATTCAGTTTAGGTGGTTTAACCTGTCCTTAACCTACACAGCGGTACATTCAGGCAGTAACTATCTATATTTTCAATGAATTCAACGATTTCAGACCCTTGTCTATTTGTAATTTCTGTAGTTTTAATTTTATTGTAGCAGTTTTTTCTAAAGCAACTCATTGCCTGTTAAGTAATTTTGTTGTTGTTGTTTTTTGTTTTGTTTTGTGTGTTTTGTTTGTTTGTTAAGTCTGTTTAAAGTTACATATGATACCCAATAAAAAAATGTCAAGTTCTCATCTGATGTTACATGTATAATTTCAGCAAAACATTACCCTCAGGGACAAGGGAAGTACCGCCACCATTCTATAGATGACGACTACTATAATTATTCGTATGGAGGATATGGGTATTATGCACCCAATTATAATTTTGAACATTTTGGAGTGCAGTACAGCTCCCAACCATCTTTGGTTAGAACAGCAAACAGTGAGGGCAAACATCAACCTGGCCGATTCTCTCAGGTAGGACATGATTTACACTTATGTTGTAGGTCGGAAAATATTCAAATGCTGTTGCAAGCAGGACTTGTCGTTATTATCATCATCATCCTATTCATTGTCACTCTGGTCCGCCATTCTGTTCTTCTTCCTCCTTGCATTCACTGATTGTTAACTCTAGCGGAAACTTCTGGTTTTATTGTCCACTTCTGTACTTTAGTCTTGTTCCATAACTCAAGTGTTGCGTGCGCATCCATTTTATAAATCTGGCTTATTTGTATGCGGACTGTTGGTTTCTTGCCTCTCGGGAAGATGGACTCTGACTTCGAGGGAAACCCCTAATTAATACTCTTACATCATGCTTGTTAGGGAGGAAGTGGGTCTGTTCTGGTTTTCCTTACAGTGGGGTCTTGGAATTCACACTGTTGGGAGGGAGAGGGGAGTGATCTGTTCTATTCTGCGCAGTCCTCCCTTTTAAAGACAAACACAAAAGAAGAAGACTTCCATCATACATGTGATATGTGTATATGTGCAAGACTTCCATCATACATGTGATATGTGTATATGTGCAAGACTTCCATCATACATCATGTGTATATGTGAACATCCATCGTACTTGTATGTATACCCGTGCAAGGACTTCCCATCATTACATGTGATATGTGTATATGTGCAAGACTCCGTCATTACATGTGATATGTGAATATGTGCAAGACTTCCCATCATACAAGCCACAAAGTCATAAATGTGATGATATGTGCCAAGATCCCCCATATATGTGTGCAAGACTCCCCATCATACATGTGATATGTGTATGTGTATCACACATGTGATGTGTAATGAAGACTCCATCATACATGTGATGTGTGTATGTGCAAGACTTCCCATCATACATGTGATGTGTATATGTGCAAGACTTCCATCATACATGTGATGTTTGTATATGTGCAAGAGACTCCCATCATACATGTTGATATGTGTGCAAGACTCCCATCATACATGTGATATGTGTATATGTGCAAGACTCCCATCATACATGTGATGTGTGTATATGTGCAAGACTCCCATCATACATGTGATATGTTGTATATGTGCAAGACTCCCATCATACATGTGATGTGTATATGTTCAAGACTCCCATCATACATGTGATGTGTATATATGTGCAAGACCTCCCATCATACATGTGATGTGTATATGTAGCAAGACTCCCATCATACATGTGATGTGTGTATAAGACTTCCATCATACATGTGATGCGAAGACTCCCATCATACATGTGATATGTGTATATGTGCAAGACTTCCATCATACATACATGTGGTATATGTGCAAGACTCCCATCATACATGTGATAATATGTGCACTCCCATCATACATGTGATATGTATATTTGCATCCCATCATACATGTGATGTGTATATGTGCAAGACTCCATCATACATACATGTGATATGTGTCCCATATGTGTGCAAGACTCCCATCATACATGTGATATGTGTAAGACTTCCATATACATGTGATGTGGTATATGTGCAAGACTCCCATCATACATGTGATGTGTGTATTTTGCAAGACTTCCATCATACATGTGATATGTGTATATGTGCAAGACTCCCATCATACATGTGATATGTGTATATGTGCAAGACTCCCATCATACATGTGATGTGTGTATATGTGCAAGACTCCCATCATAAATGGTGTGATTATGTATATGTTGCATCCCATACATGTGATATGTGTATATGTGCAAGACTCCATCATACATGTGCATTCCATCATATATGTGTATATGTGCAAGACTCCCATCATACATGTGATATGTATATGTGCAAGACTTCCACTCATTGTGGATATGTGTGCATCATACATGTGATATGTATATGTGCAAGACTCCCATCATACATGTGATGTGTATATGTGCAAGACTCCCATCATACATGTGATATGTGTATATATGTGTGAGACCTCCCATCATACATGTGATGTGTGTATATGTGTGCAAGACTCCCATCATACATGTGATATGTGTATATGTGCAAGACTCCCATCATACATGTGATATGTGTATATGTGCAAGACTTCCCATCATACATGTGATGTGTATATATGCAAGACTCCCATCATACATGTGATGTGATATATGCAAGACTCCCATCATATGTGATATGCAAGACTCCCATCATACATGTGATGTGTGTATATGTGCAAGACTCCCATCATACATGTGATGTGTATATGTGCAAGACTCCCATCATACATGTGATGTGTAAGATGTCCCATCATACAGTGCAAGACTCCCATCATACATGTGATGTGTATATGTGCGAAGACTCTCATCATACATGTGATATGTGTATATGTGCAAGACTCCCATCATACATGTGATGTGTGTATATGTGCAAGACTCCCATCATACATGTGATATGTATATGTGCGAGACTCCCATCATACATGTGATGTGTATATGTGCAAGACTCCCATCATACATGTGATGTGTATATGTGCAAGACTCCCATCATACATGTGATGTGTATATGTGCAAGACTCCCATCATACATGTGATGTGTATATGTGCAAGACTCCCATCATACATGTGATATGTGTAAGACTTCCATCATACATGTGATGTGTATATGTGCAAGACTCCCATCATACATGTGATGTGTGTATTTATGCAAGACTTCCATCATACATGTGATATGTGTATATGTGCAAGACTCCCATCATACATGTGATATGTGTATATGTGCAAGACTCCCATCATACATGTGATATGTGTATATGTGCAAGACTCCCATCATACATGTGATATGTATATGTGCAAGACTCCCATCATACATGTGATATGTGTATATGTGCAAGACTCCGTCATACATGTGATATGTGAATATGTGCAAGACTTCCATCATATATGTGATGTGTATATGTGCAAGACTTCCATCATACATGTGATGTGTATATGTGCAAGACTTCCATCATACATGTGATATGTGTGCAAGACTCCCATCTTACATGTGATATGTGTATATGTGCAAGACTCCCATCATACATGTGATGTGTATATGTGCAAGACTCCCATCATACATGTGATATGTGTATATATGCAAGACTCCCATCATACATGTGATATGTATATATGTGCAAGACTCACATCATACATGTGATGTGTGTATGTATGCAAGACTCCCATCATACATGTGATATGTGTATATGTGCAAGACTCCCATCATACGTGTGATATGTGTATATGTGCAAGACTCCCATCATACATGTGATGTGTATATGTGCAAGACTCCCATCATACATGTGATATGTGTATATATGCAAGACTCCCATCATACATGTGATATGTGTATATGTGCAAGACTCCCATCATACATGTGATGTGTGTATTTTGCAAGACTCCCATCATACATGTGATGTGTATATGAGCAAGACTCCCATCATACATGTGATGTGTGTATATTGCAAGACTCCCATCATACATGTGATGTGTATATGTGCGAGACTCTCATCATACATGTGATATGTGTATATGTGCAAGACTCCCATCATACATGTGATATGTGTATATGTTCAAGACTCCCATCATACATGTGATGTGTGTATTTTGCAAGACTCCCATCATACATGTGATGTGTATATGAGCAAGACTCCCATCATACATGTGATGTGTGTATATTGCAAGACTCCCATCATACATGTGATGTGTATATGTGCGAGACTCTCATCATACATGTGATATGTGTATATGTGCAAGACTTCCATCATACATGTGATGTGTGTATATGTGCAAGACTCCCATCATACATGTGATATGTATATGTGCGAGACTCTCATCATACATGTGATATGTATATGTGCAAGACTCCCATCATACATGTGATGTGTATGTGTGCAAGACTCCCATCATACATGTGATATGTGTATATGTGCGAGACTCCCATCTTACATGTGATGTGTGTATATGTGCAAGACTCCCATCATACATGTGATATGTGTAAGACTTCCATCATACATGTGATGTGTATATGTGCAAGACTCCCATCATACATGTGATGTGTGTATTTATGCAAGACTTTCATCATACATGTGATATGTGTATATGTGCAAGACTCCCATCATACATGTGATATGTGTATATGTGCAAGACTCCCATCATACATGTGATATGTGTATATGTGCAAGACTCCCATCATACATGTGATATGTATATGTGCAAGACTCCCATCATACATGTGATATGTGAATATGTGCAAGACTTCCATCATATATGTGATGTGTATATGTGCAAGACTTCCATCATACATGTGATGTGTATATGTGCAAGACTTCCATCATACATGTGATATGTGTGCAAGACTCCCATCTTACATGTGATATGTGTATATGTGCAAGACTCCCATCATACATGTGATGTGTATATGTGCAAGACTCCCATCATACATGTGATATGTGTATATATGCAAGACTCCCATCATACATGTGATATGTATATATGTGCAAGACTCACATCATACATGTGATGTGTGTATGTATGCAAGACTCCCATCATACATGTGATATGTGTATATGTGCAAGACTCCCATCATACGTGTGATATGTGTATATGTGCAAGACCCTCATCATACATGTGATGTGTATATGTGCAAGACTCCCATTATACATGTGATATGTGTATATATGCAAGACTCCCATCATACATGTGATATGTGTATATGTGCAAGACTCCCATCATACATGTGATGTGTGTATTTTGCAAGACTCCCATCATACATGTGATGTGTATATGAGCAAGACTCCCATCATACATGTGATGTGTGTATATTGCAAGACTCCCATCATACATGTGATGTGTATATGTGCGAGACTCTCATCATACATGTGATATGTGTATATGTGCAAGACTTCCATCATACATGTGATGTGTGTATATGTGCAAGACTCCCATCATACATGTGATATGTATATGTGCGAGACTCTCATCATACATGTGATATGTATATGTGCAAGACTCCCATCATATATGTGATGTGTATATGGGCAAGACTTCCATCATACATGTGATATGTGTATATGTGCAAGACTCCCATTATACATGTGATTTGTATATGTGCAAGACTCCCATCATACATGTGATGTGTGTATATATGTGCAAGACTCCCATCATACATGTGATATGTGTATATGTGCAAGACTCCCATCATACATGTGATTTGTATATGTGCAAGACTTCCATCATACATGTGATATGTATATATGTGCAAGACTCCCATCATACATGTGATGTGTGTATATGTGCAAGACTCCCATCATTCATGTGATATGTGTATATGTGCAAGACTCCCATCATACATGTGATTTGTATATGTGCAAGACTCCCATCATACATGTGATGTGTGTATATATGTGCAAGATTCCCATCATACATGTGATGTGTATATGTGCAAGACTCCCATCATTCATGTGATGTGTGTATATGTGCAAGACCCCTGTCTGTTGCCATGTATCCTCGTTCTCCTGAGCACTGGTTAATCTGTAAAGTTAGGTTTTCAGCACAAAATTCCTGATGCATTCAGGTTATTCTTCTATGTTCTTGAAAAGGGTGGCTAGCTCATTGTGTTGTAGTCTACAGCCAGGCTGCGATTCTGTGCCATGACATCCAATGTCAGCAGATCCCTAACTACTATGACATGCTTGTTGGGAGTCAGTGGGTCTGTTCTGTGTTCTATCAAAGTGGGGTGCTGGAACCCACTCTGTGAATTTCATGGTATGAAAGGGTTCCTTCTTCTCCTACTTCATTCATCCGAGGGTGTGAATGCATTGTGCCTGTTCACGGCATGGCTGCAATATTTGCACTGTTCGGCTGACACATCCAACCTCCTGCAGGCATTTGTTGTCTGGGTTAGCCCTCCTAAGTTAGTTTCCTGGGACATTGCAGTCTCGTTGTTGTGTGGTCATCTGTTAATTCCTAGTCCACAGGTGGTTCCACTCATCCAATATGTTAATGCTGTTTAACCCTTAAGATCCATCCACCCATTTATGTTGAAAAAAAAAAAGATTGGCTGCGTTCAGCCTACTTCAAGCAGTATTGGTTATAGTTGTGGTCTGATTGTTTTATCTCACTTCTGTATATTGAGCTTCTCACTTTTAGAATCCAGCAGGAAGCAACCTGCAGACCTGGGTTTTTGATTACCTACACAGAATGAGTGCTTTGCTTCTTATGCTAGTCAGACTTTGAAAGGGTTGCTATACTTTTACTTACATACTTTTTTTTTTATTAATCTTTGCATTGTACAGACCTTACCTTTGCTATCAACTGTTTGTGATGTCTTTGAAGCAGGGTCCTGCAAAGCGAGGTTACTATGATAAAGACCACCATAAGGACAGCAAGGACATAGAGGGGAAAGCCAAGGAAAGGAATGGGGATCGAGACAAGCCCTTTAGTGAAGATTTTGTAAGAATATTTTATTGTCTTCTGTGTTTTTTTTTTTTTTTTAAATCTGTGCTTGCATGTATGTAGGCTCATTTAACTCTGCATTAGTGATTCTGTCATACCATTTAATGCTGTCTGTTCACCACAAGGCACACGTTAAGTGGTGTCTGTGGTTTGTTAGTGATAATTTTACTTGTTTTTCATGTTTCTGCTCAGTATTCTTAAGTATGAATTTTCGACAGTACTGATTTGAGATCAGAATTCAATATTCTAAGTATTGTTGCATATTTTGTTTGTTTTGACTTTTACAGACTTCTAGACATTTTATTAGAATTATTTGTGGAGAGCATTATTTGTGCAAAGGGGGGGGGGGGGGGGGGGGTGCATGCTGCTGTATGTATTAGAGGAAAAGTGATGGGGGCATCAGAGGTTGTTTGTCGAGTGTGCCTTTTAAATTTTAAATTACAATATAAAAAGAAAGGGGGGGGGGGGAATGGGCACAAGAAAGTTCTTCCTACAGGATTTTTTAGTCTGCAGGATTAACATCTCAGGGATGAGAATCAGGCACTTACAAATCAGATCCCAAATACGCTTTTAGATAATATAAAACAGTTATATTGGAATTTGCAGTTCAGTGAGGGTGTTTTCGTGAAAAACTGACACCTCTTCTGCCTTTTATCATGGAATATAAGCCCTTAACCAGATCATGCCAAGCCCTGTGTGGGCTTATTCTTATTGGTTGAGTTTGATAGCTACATTTCCTGCCCAAGGAGGAGTTAGTCTTATCTCAAGCCTCTTTAGATGCCACTTTTGACATTCTTTACAGGATAAAAAGGAAGCATTTCCTTATGAATGTCCTTTGCAGGCAGCCCTTTTGTCCCCTCCCCCTAAATGTACAACAGCACGTTGTTCTTTGAGGTTACACTCCGTAATTACACTCACCATTTTTGTTTCTGTGTTGTGAATGCGCATGCAACACCTAGCGCCACCTAACGACCGGAGACTTAAAGTTCAGTGTTGCTGTCAACTAATGACACCTTTAGAAACCACCAATACATTTTCCTGCCCTCACATAACCATTTGTGACTTACTTATTGACTTCCCATCGTACTTTATACCCACTTTAGGCCGGGTCGAGCCTGGAAGCCAAGGTCAGTTTTTCAAAAATCCACTATGAAATTATTATTTTCTTTTTCACATTCACTGGCTGTAAACTATAGTGGAAAGTCCTGATTGTTCATCCACTTCTTGACTTTGGCCTTGTCCCAAAACTTGAGTTTTTTGTGTGTACACATCCATTCTACAGATCTGGCTTATTTGTATGCAGACTGTTGGTTCCTAGCTTCTCAGCCAGGTGCACTTCAAAGAAAATACCCGTAATTAGTCACCTTTTGCAACATGTTTATTATAAGGTGCAGTTGGTCTCTTCCCTCCACCTTTCCCCTCCAAATTGGACCACAGAACTAACATGGGGATGGTGCGGATTCGAACCCAATACCTTTGTGCGTGAATGTGAGTGTCTAGACACTACACTGCTGCAGCTCCCTTGTTCAGTTTGTATTGATCCACAAATGCCACCATAAATGTTAATGTTTGTGTTCATTGAATCTTTCTTGTAGCCATTGCTGAAAGGATCTGGGAAGAATGCACCTGAAACGAAGCAAACAAAAACAGGATCTGGTGTGTGGGGTAAGGATGTCATAAAAGAGATAAATTGTTCTTGTGTGTCTTGGCAAGTTTTGTGGTGGAACTGAATGCTGTGCCTAGACAACTTAAAGAAAGATCCTGAGCACAGCAGGATATTACTAACCTAGCAGAAAGTGCACTTGAAGGAGATACTCTGTCTCTCACCTCGGGCGCCAGCGAGCTCTGTCCTGGTTTTGCAGATCTTCTTGAAAGACTTTTTCTCGTTTGCTGAGGATATTGGGTCAGATTTACTGATTTAAGAATTGACATCATAGCACACCAGGCATACCCATAGGTGCTCCATCTCCCACCGCAAATGTCTTAAGGTATAAAAAAAAAAGGGGGTAAAGTCGGGAGATGTGAACCAGCGTCATTGCACACGGTTATAAACCATAAGTGCTCTGCCACCAGTACGGATAGCTGATAAGAAACTGTCCGCCTGTGTCGCCGTCCACGCGCAGCTCCGTAGATACAGTGACGTTCCTCCGTTTACCCCAGAGTGTTAACTCTGGTACCCATTACCTAGAGGCTGGGTGAACCCCGGAAACCGCCTGGTTTCGAACACCCGCTGTGGGCTGCAGCGAGTCGCAGCTGGATTTGAAAGCGAGTCTCCTATCGACTGCGCTAACACGGCCCCCAAATGTCTTAAGGTGTAGATGCTAACTGTTCCGGTAGCACACTGATTATAAACACATCCTTCTTTTCCTTTCTTACGCCTGTCCTTGGAGAATCCATTCTTAATTTTGTTCACACATTCTTGCACATTTTATTTCATATAGCCTCGTGTTCTATTAACGTTTGTTCATTTATGGTCTTCTCCGTGTCTCCCTTCTCCAGTATGAGTATACCCATAGCTAACGCTTTTGTACCCAGAACATCCGTCTTTCGTTCTCCTGCACTCCTGCATGTCCTAGACAGTCACCCCCCAATGCATGGGTGAAAATGTAAATTGAAGCTCATTTCCAGCATGAGTGAAGCCCGCTGGCTGGATATCCTACTATGTGACAAACCTTGGTTCAAGCATCTGTCGACCAAAAATCTTACTTAATTGCTGATTAGGCTAAAATGTCCATCAGTCAAGTATCCTTCGACATAACAACAAAGTTTGAGATGTCTGTCATTCAGGTGTCAGGGTGTTGTAATCGGCTGAGAGCAGCTACCTTTGGATTTTTTTTCTGAAAAGGAATTGGAATTGAGTGGTGGGGTACAACTTACCTTACCGTGTGGGCCAACCAGTCATGGTTGACTGGATCGGTTCTCCGGGGGCAGTACCTTTAGTTAAAGGGCTGGACAAAGAGGACACCACACAAATAAGGCGAAGTCATGTCCCACAAAACTGACCAGGAAGGCAGACCCGGTGAGCAAATGCCCGGTAAAGTCTGATGTGTCGGCCAGCAGGTGTAAATACTGCAGCTGTGTTGTAAACAGGCACAACACAGTTGCACCACTAAGACTATGGAAGACCCCAAAAAAAGTTTATTAATACCTGTATTTTTTTGCCATGATTAATCCTTTGAAGACAACCATTTTCTAAATTTGATTTTATTTGTAATTGTATTTGACAGAAAATCCTCCAAAATCAGGTCGTAATGATGAGTCGCCGAAGAATGCATCACCAGGAATATACAAGGCATTGTTGCTTAATAAGGTATGTCAGTTTCTCAAGTAAAAGCCTCCTGCCCCTCAATTAAAATCCACCGTTTTCTTGAAGAAATTATAAATCAAGTCCGCCTGTAACTGAATACAATAATGAAAAGGACCACTACTTTTCCTTTCCCCCTTTTTTAAAATTGTTAGAGCTGATATTTCAAGCCTTTAAAAAAAACAGAAACATCAACCGAGAAGGCAAACTGATGTAACTGGATATCACTTTCGATAGGAGCCTGTCACACAAAGATCATGTGGAGGCAGTTGCAGAAAAAAATGCCAGAAGGAGCTCAGTGCACTGAAAATTATGTCAGCGATGGACATAGAGCAGAAATGGTTGTTTACAGTGAACAAGCACTTTATTATTTTAGTTATGGACTGGGGCTGCCGTGTCAGCTGGTGAAGCTTGAACGCAAACAGAATGAAACCATGCAGGTGATTCTAGAATGTACAAGAGATACCCCACTAGTCTGTATTCAAACATCCTTGCCCTGCTGACTGCTGCAGACTGTGTCATATCTCAGGGTAGCTGCCGATAAAATCAGTCTGCTTTATGATGTTGAGTCACGAATTTATATCACAGCACTCGAGGCATTCCCAGACATGCTCCGTCCTCATTCCCGAGTAAAGTATAGGCCTTCGACTAACGCCAAGTCATCCTATTCTTTGCTAGCGCATGCAGCTACCCTCAAATCCTCTACACTAGGCATGTTAAACTGAGGGTTCCCCTGAGAGCCATATGGGTCACATTTGTGTTGTCATGAGGGCCACACGTGACAACTAATTGAAGTCATTTAATAAAAATTACTGCGGGCCGCAGGTTTTCTTGCAAAGGGGTGTGGGCCACATGTTTGACGTACCTGCTCTACATCTTGTTAACCTCACACTCCTTCTCCATGTATTTTTTAGTCTGCCTTTATTCCTTAGACCCTGTGGGTTTCAGTACAAAGCCATTCTAATTTTACTGTTATCACATTTTTTCAACACATGTCTTGTCCAGCGCCAGAGTCTTTTACTCGTCTCTTGATTCTCTGGAATTTGTTTAGTTCTGTCCCAAAGCGCGGTTGTATATTTTATTCTTTGCTAAGGCTGCTAGCTTTTGTCTGTCAGAAGTGATGTAATGATTAATGAGAGTCTGGATTTTTTCTTATAGTCCATGCCTACCATGTGTTGGTAGTCATGTCTGTTCACAGCTTTATGTGTCATATACTTTCAGGCAGCTCTGATACAGATGATCTTCCATGCTATTTTTATAAATCCCAGTCTGGACAGGCAATAATGAATGGCAGTCTAGACAGGCGATAATGAATGGCAGTCTAGACAGGCAATAATGAACGGCAGTCTAGACAGGCAATAATGAACGGCAGTCTAGACAGGCAATAATGAATGGCAGTCTAGACAGGCAATAATGAATGGCAGTCTAGACAGGCAATAATGAACGGCAGTCTAGACAGGCGATAATGAATGGCAGTCTAGACAGGCAATAATGAATGGCAGTCTAGACAGGCGATAATGAACTGCAGTCTAGACAGGCGATAATGAATGGCAGTCTAGACAGGCGATAATGAATGGCAGTCTAGACAGGCAATAATGAACGGCAGTCTAGACAGGCGATAATGAACGGCAGTCTAGACAGGCAATAATGAATGGCAGTCTAGACAGGCAATAATGAATGGCAGTCTAGACAGGCAATAATGAACGGCAGTCTAGACAGGCAATAATGAATGGCAGTCTAGACAGGCAATAATGAATGGCAGTCTGGACAGGCAATAATGAACGGCATTCTAGACAGGCAATAATGAACGGCAGTCTAGACAGGCAATAATGAACGGCAGTCTAGACAGGCAATAATGAACGGCAGTCTAGACAGGCAATAATGAATGGCAGTCTAGACAGGCGATAATGAATGGCAGTCTAGACAGGCAATAATGAACGGCAGTCTAGACAGGCAATAATGAATGGCAGTCTGGACAGGCAAAAATGAATGGCAGTGTGAATAGGCAGTAATAAATGATAATCTGGACAGGTAGTAAAAAAAGACAGTCTGGACAGGTAATAATGAATGGCAGTCTGGGCAGACAATAATAAATGATAATCTGGACAGGCAGTAATAAATGATAATCTGGACAGGCAATAATAAATGATAATCTGGACAGGCAGTAATAAATGGTAATCTGGGCAGTCAGTAATAAATGACAGTCGGGTCAAGCAATAATAAATGATAATCTGCACAGGCAGTAATAAATGACAGTCTGGACAGGCAGTAATAAATGACAGTCTGGACAGGCAGTAATAAATGACAGTCTGGACAGGCAATAATAAATGATAATCTGTGCAGGCAATAATAAATGATAATCTGGACAGGCAGTAATAAATGATAATCTGGACAGGCAGTAATAAATGATAATCTGGACAGGCAGTAATAAATGATAATCTGGTTAAGGTTAGTTGCGTATCCTTTACAGGATGTTGCAGTGCCAACCCCAACAACCCCTGGCTGTTGTGTGGTTTTTCTAGGCAAATTTACGACCAGTAGTTTGCCAATGCTTTCTGGACGGTCGGCTTTCTTGGTACCATTGTCAAAACCAACGCAAGGCGCATGGCCCGCAGCTGGGATCAAACCCGGCATTACGAAGCGTTCGCATTGACTTAGCCACAGAGCCGGCTGATAATTTGGATAGGCAGTAATAAATGATAATCTGGACAGGCAATAATACATGTCTGGACTCCCCGTGTGGGTTCCGGGGCCCCATTGTGGGGAAAACAAGAATAGACCCACTGCCTCCCCAAAAGCATGTCGTAAGAGTCGACTAATTGGGGAGCCTCCTTTGAAGTCGGAGTGCATCTGCCGGAGAGGCAAGGAACCAGCAATCTGTATTCAAGAGAATGAGATCTGTAAAACTGATGCACACGCAACACTCAGGTTCTGGAGCAGGACTGCAGTTCAGTAGTGGACGAGCAACCAGAACTTTCCACCAGAGTTTACAGCTGGTGAACGCGAAGAAGAAGAAGACATGTCTGGACATGGTGTGGCTGCTGTTTGGGACGGCAACACAAATTCTAGCAGCAGTACAGATGCAGCAATTATGGGTTTTTCTGAACTTTGTGTGTGTGTGTGTGTGTGTAAAACTTGTTAGTTTACTATTTATGAAATTTGTTATTAAATGTGTTTTGTTGATGTCTTTTTTTAGAATGGGCAGATCAAGAAGATTGTGCCTGAAACATTACGTATGAATGGCAGAAACGCCTCTTCTCCTCTCAGTGCTTCCAATAGGTCAAACCACAAAGAGGTAGCTGTTTGTGAACGTATGTGTTTTCCTCCTTCCCCCCCCCCCCCCCTCTCTCTCTCTCTCTCTCTCTCTCTTTCCATCCTCTGTCACTCACTGATTCACACTCTTGCTAGGTCCTTTGTGAGTTTCCTGTGCTCTGTTTGGGGAGGAAAAGGGGGATAGACACTCTGCACTTCAACTATCATGTTGTAAATGCCAGCTAATTAACTATTTCAGGGTGACATTTTTTTTCTAGGGTTTGGGAAGCATTAATTTTGAGTAGAATTTTTTTTTACTGCAACATGACAAAGCTAAAAATGTTCCTATATAAAACATGTTGGCTGTATAGTGACATAAGTAAAAAAAGTAAAGGACCCTTTTCCACGCCTTTAGGCTTATAGGGCATATAGGGCTAGACCTATATTTTTATAGACCAATCGGCACAAGATGGGTGATGTGGTCACCATTACACTGGCCGCCTTTACTTCCCGGGCTGCACCCGGTACCCACTCAAGGCTGGGTCGACCTGGGAGACAAGGTCATTTTTGAAAAAAGTCCGGCTCCGCCAGGGAGCGAACCCACGACCTTCCGATCCGCGGTGAGCGTCCAGCCGCTCGGCCACGGCGACTCCCGTATAGTGACATAAAGAGAAACGAATACAGAATAAATCGAAACTATTTAAGTATCAATATTACAACACAACGTTTTTAAAATCACACAGCATTCAAGGATGTTAGACACACATGGAGATTTTTTTTTTAACACATGAAGTCTTGTGCTTACGTTAAGTTTTAACTTGTTCAGCAACACTGCTATGCATTTCTAAGAACTCAAATTTCTCTTCTGTTCAATTTTGCATCAGCTAGTCTTTATTTGAAACTGTTAATTTAAATACATTGGATTTGATGACTGTTTTTGTAAGACATGTTGGTTTTCACAACAGCCAAATTTCAGACACAGTTGATCAAAATGGATAATCTGATTGAACTATTTTTATTTTGTTCAACTTCATCTTAATCTTTATTATTGGCAATATGTTTGGCAATTAAAACCAAATCAAGAAAAAAACAACTCACCATTTTGGGAAAACGATAATACTTCCTTTCACTAATTCTAGTTTTTCAAAACATGTTCATACAAACTAATTTTCCCAGCAAACAAAACAATATTAGAGTGACTGTACAGAGCCATTAAAATTGCGATCCATTCGAACATGATGGATTCAAAAGCCACTAAAATGGTGATCTGAGTTTGCTAAAAAAAATGTGGTGTTTTGGGCTAAAAGTGCAGATATCACAGCCTATATTTAAATCTGAATATAACCGCCTATTTAACACTTTCACTTCACAAGAATCATGCACCTGAGTGTGATCAGAGGGTTCAGCCGGCACACTGCGCTCAGAGGAAAGGCTAGACGGACATACAACCAGACTATGACTGGCAACTTTAGTACTGGAACTGCGCTGACTGCTGAGGATGGGGACAGAGCGCATATGGGAATGCCCCGAGTGCTGTGATGTTAATTCTCAACTCCACAAGAATTTTAAAAAAAAAAGCTGTTTCCTAAATTTACTAAAAGGAAGCGCTTCGTTATAATTCTCGTCTCTTCTTTTTCTTAGTGTTCTCCATCTGTAAACCCCGGCGGCAAGTTCTGGTTGTTCACCCACTTCTAGACTTTGGTCTTATTTCAGTCACTACAAACACACAGTAAAGTATTAGCTGCTTTCCTTCCCTTCGACATGAATAGCATGTTGTGTTGCCATAGCAAGATAATATCATATTGACAACTGAAAATATTTCACCCGATGAAGAGAGGCTACAAGAGCTGGTTGAGGACCTATAGTCTATTCAGGAATATTGGGCAGAGTGCTGAGCTAAGAACTGGCACCATAGCACTTGTGACATTCGCATAAGTGCTCTGTCCTTATCCTTCATGGTTCCGTCCCAGGGACATAAATTACTTATCTGTTTCACTTATGGCATAAGGCCAATAAATTGTTACGCAGTTTCTTTGAGTTGTAAAATGTATTTGTAAAAAATGAATTGCATGACTTTTGGTTTGTCTAAATTCAGGTCACACGGCACAGCCCTACGCCAGATTTAGGGGTGGTGACACAGCCCAAAAAATTAGGCAACAAGAAGAGCGATTTTCTCAGAGCTCTGCGACATGAGAGCAGCCTGCGTAATGGGGAGAGCTACCAGGATCTCAATCAGAATTCCATAGACAAGAAGCAGGTGAGATCTTTTATCACTTTGCCAGATGATGTTTTAGTGAGGAAAGGGGGCGGGGGGGCAGTTTATCTGAATGTTCAACATATCACTTTACCAGATAATGTTCTAGTGCGGGGAAAGAGGGGAGGGGGGAGAAGAGTTTGAGTGTCCAACATCTTATATCACTTTACCAGATAATGTTCTAGTGCGGGGAAAGAGGGGAGGGGGAGAATAGTTTGAGTGTTCAACATCTTATATCACTTTGCGAGATAATGTTCTAGTGTGGGAAAAGGAGAGAGGGGGGGGGGGGGGGGGGGGGGGGGGGAGTTTAAGTGTCCAATATCTTACATCACTTTGCGAGATAATGTTCTAGTGTGGGAAAAAGTGGGGGGGGGGGGGGGGGGGGGGGGAAAGAGTTTAAGTGTTCAACATCTTACATCACTTTGCGAGATAATGTTCTAGTGTGGGGAAAAAGTGGGGGGGGGGGGGGGAGAAGAGTTTAAGTGTTCAACATCTTACATCACTTTGCGAGATAATGTTCTAGTGTGGGAAAAAGAGAGGGGGGGGGGAGAAGAGTTTAAGTGTTCAACATCTTACATCACTTTGCGAGATAATGTTTTAGTGTGGGAAAAAGTGGGGGGGGGGGGGGGGGAGAAGAGAGTTTGAGTGTTCAACATCTTACATCACTTTGCGAGATAATGTTCTAGTGTGGGAAAAAGTGGGGGGGGGGAGAAGAGTTTGAGTGTTCAACATCTTACATCACTTTGCGAGATAATGTTCTAGTGTGGAAGGGGGCAGTTATCACTTCTCCCAGATAATATTCTGGCTACATTGTCAGAATGACAACCTCAGATGGGTGTTTGATATGGGCTTTTCTTTGTAAAGTCAATGCCATATGGCATTGGTAGTCATGTCTGTCCACACCCTTCAACTTTCCTGCTGTCACGATGTACTGCAGTTTTCTTCTGCTTATCACATGACCAAACGCTGTAGATTGTTATTTTCTGATGTGGGCAATCATTTGTCTTTGTGAGTCAGTTTCTTTCAAGACGTCTTCATTACTCTTTCTATCTGTCAAGGGTATTCTCATCATTCGTCTGTAAAACCACATCTCTACAGCTTACAAATCATTTTTCACTAATTTACCAACTATTATAATATCGATTGGGGTTTAAAAAAAAATCTTCGCTTGTACACTAGTAACTGCTTGATCAGGCTGTCATTGTTCTCATTTAAAAAATAATTGTTAATTTCACCATCGCCCTGTCACGCCATTATATGTCAGATGTCTTCTTCTTCTTCTCGTTCACCAGCTGTAAAAAGTTCTGGTTGTTCGTCCACTTCTGGACTGCAGTCCTGTTCCAGAACCTGAGTGTTGCGTGTGCATCCGTTTGACAGATCTGTATACAGACTGTTGGTTCCTTGCCTCTCCGGCAGATGCACTCCGACTTCAAAGGAAGCCCCTAATTAGTCTACTCTTACGACATGCTTTTGGGTAGGCAGTGAGTCTATTCTTGTTTTTCCCACAATGGGGCCCGGAACCCACACAGGGATATATATATGTCAGATGTGACCTCCTGTCTGTTCTATCTTGTACAGTCTTTCCGATATGGATGGGATCCGATCTAGCACCTTTGGCTTCGATCAGCAACATTGGTCTTAGTAGTCTGTTTGTAGGCATCCTTATTTCCTCAATCCATTTGTTTTCTGTTTAAGCGCTGTTTTGGGAGGTTTGAAGTTTGAACAAGGGATCAACATCATGGCACATGCATCGTAACCCATAAGTGTTCCATTCTTCTTCTAACTCAAGTCTGAGTCCGAAAAAGCTCAGCACAGTGCACAGGCTCTGTAGCAGCGGCGAGGATCCTGAAATACTTTAGGTAGATTTTCAACTCCAAAGCCTGGGCAGTGCCGTTAGGCTACGCTTTTCAATTTCCAACTGCCAAGGGATTTTGTACGTGCGCAACAATGCACAAGGGCGTCCGATCTCACTACCCAGAGACCAGGGGGAATTACTAGAAGTCCAAGTCCACGTGAAAAATTCCCAGTTGAACCCGGGACTGAGCCCGCACCCTCTAGCACTCATGCCGGACAAATGCCTCGAGACCACGCAACCCCCTGCACTGTTTGGAGAATTCTCTGTTAACTTCATGTCATTGTGCCCCAAATATAGCGCCATCGTCTTTGTCTTATAGTTCTTCTTCTTCGCATTCATGGGGTGTAAACTCTGGCAGAAAGTTCTGGTTGTTTGTCCACCTCTGGACTTTTAAGTCTTGTTCCAGAACGTGAGTGTTGCTTGCACATTTGTTTTACAGATCTGACTTATTCATATGCAAGCTGTTGGTTCCTTGCCTCTCAGGCAGATGCATTCCGACTTCAGAGGAAGTCCCCATTTAGTCGACTCTTACGACGTGCTTGTTGGGGCCCTTGACAGCTGATAATTTCATGATTACATCACATTACTGACTGCGTCAAAGCGAAGGAAATCAGTTTTTTTAAACCTGTTGGCCCTCATTTGATTGTGTAGCCAACATCATGTCAGCCGCCTTTACTTCCCATATTTTGCCTGGTGCCCATTTTAGGCTGGCTTGACCAGACAGGCTCTTCAGTTGAAAACAAATGGATTAATAAAACGAGGATGCCTAGAAAGAAACCTTAATATAAATATTGATGAGAAGGCCAAGGCTACTGATATTGAAGCGATTGCATCGGATAAAATGGAATGGGTGACTAGAGTATGAACCCAATGTGATATATAACATCAGAACATGATGATGATGATGGAGATAGCATGTGATAATTGTAAGTAAGTAAATAAAAAAGTAAAGGTCCCTTTTCCACGCCTTTAGGCGTATAGGGCATATTGGGCTAGACCTATATTTTTTATAGACCGATCGGCACAAGATGGGTGATGTGGTCAGCATCACATGGTGTGATAACTGTAACTTTTGACAATCAAATTCAGATGTCAAGGAATGCTGATAAACTGGCCGTGAATGAGCACGCTGCAGACATCTCTCAGATGAACGGATCCTGTGAACACCAGGGCAAGAATGGGTCACATGAAGCTGTTGTGAACCCCAGTCAGAAGCTGAGTAGTGATCTGGACAAGTCACTGAAGGGGGACCATGGCATCAATGGGGAAGCTCTTATAAAACATGTTGATCATATTGATTTGTCTGGAGAAGAAGAAGAGAAGAGGTATGATTTGTTTTATCTGTTTAACTCTTGAAATACTAAACAAGGCACAGTGCATAACTGCAAAGTACTCATGTGCATTAGTAAATGTGTTGTGAATGTTTGTGCATCTTACATGTAATCAGTGCATACTCTTGATTTGGCGTCTTTCCAGATGATAGTGTTATATTGCACAATGAGGAGGCATGGGACTCACAGCACATGGCGATGGTGGGTGTGCCTAGCGAGACCCGCCCATGTTAAGAAAAGTGCGTACTCTACTACAGGGCTATTCAGCTTGCAACCTGTGGGCCAGCAGAAGACTAGCAGGTGTCCAGCAGAGGACTAGCTTGTGTCCAGCAGAGGACTAGCTGGTGTCCAGCAGAGGACTAGCAGGTGTCCAGCAGAGGACTAGCAGGTGTCCAGCAGAGGACCAGCAGGTGTCCAGCAGAGGACTAGCAGGTGTCCAGCAGAGGACTAGCAGGTGTCCAGCAGAGGACTAGCAGGTGTCCAGCAGAGGACCAGCAGGTGTCCAACAGAGGACCAGCAGGTGTCCAGCAGAGGACTAGCTGGTGTCCAGCAGAGGACTAGCAGGTGTCCAGCAGAGGACTACCAGGTGGCCAGCAGAGGACTAGCAGTTGTGTTGTATAATGATCTTTCTGTGCTAGGGCTCCAGTTTCTGGCCCTTGACGATCACTGTTTTGAAAATGTTTGCCCCTTGGTAAACTTAGTTGAATAGCCCTGCTCTGCTGCTTCAGCCACACATTTGTCGCATACAGTTTGTTGTATGTCTTTCAAGAATGTTCCAAATACAACATATTTATTCAAAACTTTTGGCCAAGAGAAACATCGGTGCACGTCAAACTTGACCGGTCGCAGTGAAGTTCATACTAGAGACAACATTGCAGATATAGATAATTTATTTCAAGCAAATGAAATAGGAGTTAGAAATTTGCTGTGTATTTGCTTCCTGTGGATGTAATATCCCTTGACTTTTTTTTTAACGTTATTATTTCGTCACTCTGAAATTAGCTATTTCATTCTGTGACGGAAGGAGTCAACGGAAAAAAATACACCTTGGTGTGGTGGTAGAGCTTGTGTTTCTCAGTGACCCAGAGAACTATGCTAGCAGTAGCCTAGCTGCCAGCAGGGCCTGTCAAGCTGGACAGGTCACGGGGTAGAGGGAAGACATATAGGGACACTCTGGTCCTCCGGGGTTGGGAGGGTTGAAGCCACACACACATCTTCGTAAAACTTCATTCCATCACAAAACTGATATCTGAGCCCTTGTTAATGGCTTGTACAAGGGACATTCTTGCAGGACGTGTTCTGTAGTGTGCACACCCAGCCCACATGGGCACAGTGGTGAACTACTCAGACGAAGCCTGTGCAAATGCTTGTTAAGTTGGTATACCCTGTCCTGAGGAGTAGATGATGACCTGTCCGTGCTGGTCAAGTGAAAGTCATCTCTGGCCAGATTAAGTTCACTTCTGACAGACTGGATTGTCTATTTTTCCCTTAAAGTATGTTACTGCAACTGACATTCGAAAAGATCAAGGAAGATTCGCTAATAATTAGCATCTCGTCTTTTGAGAAATTTGAACTATGGCGCAAAAGTAAATGGAATGAACGTTCAGAGGCGTCATTTTGAAGAACAAACAGTAGACCCGCTGCCTCTCTAACAAGCATGTGGTAGGAGGCAACTATTAGGGGTGTTTCTTTCAGAGTCAGAATGCATCAGCCTAAGTAGCCAGGAGCCAGTAGTCTGGTCCAGGAGGGTCCAGAAAGTGGGGATGTCCAACTTGTGCTTGAGGATTTTTGGCGGATAGTGCAGTTGCCACAGACTGTGCAAGTTAGGATTCTCTTTTTCTGCACGTTTACCGGCTGTAAACTCCAGCGAAACGTTCTGGTTTGTTCATCCATCTTTGTATCTTAGTCTTATTCCAGAACCTGATCGTTGCATGCACATCTGTTTTACAGAAATGACTTATTTGTATGCAGACAGTTGGTTCCTTGTCTCTCAGGCAGGTGCACTGCGACTTTGAAAGAAGCTTCTTATTAGTTGACTCTTACAGCATGCTTGTTGAGGAGGGTAGTTAGGATTTTATTGTTACCCCTGACACATTAAAATCCATTACCTTACTAAGGATTCAAACCTTGGTTTCTCAAGTGAGAGCCCAGCACTCTTTATTATTCGGCATGACACTGCAGCTTCACATTTTGATGGTTTCTGGAATAATCTGTTTTCAGGCTGCTGGAGTCCATGGGATGGTCAGAAGAGGATAAAACGGAGTATGTGATTACAGATGATGATGTCAAGGAGTTTCATCACATGGTATGTTCAAAATCAGTAGAAAAGTGAGGCGGCAATTATTGGTTTCATCTTCTTCCGCATTTTTCTTTATGAGCTTTCAAACATAATGATGATGTCAATGAGTTTCACCAAGTGGTGTGTTAAAAATAGATAGGCACATCTATCAGGTGAATATGCAAAAACTCAAGTTTCTGGAACAAGACCAAAGTCAAGAAACAGAAAACAACCAGGACGCTAGAGTTTACAGCTGGTGATCGCTAAGAAGGAAGACCCAAAAACACAAGTTTCTGGAACAAGACCAAAGTCAAGAAACAGAAAACAACCAGGACTTTCCGCTAGAGTTTACAGCTGGTGATCGCTAAGAAGGAAGACCCAAAAACACATCTAGAGGGGAGCTAGAGAGTGAAGTTAAAAAGATGGGGAGAGCTGCGTGAAAAAGTGAGGGAAGAATGACTTGGCGCAAGTTGGTTGAGGGCCTAAGCTCCATTGGTGCTTAGAAAGGCAGAAGAAGAAGAAGATAGCTAACTCCTTCAGGCCCAAAGTGTATTACTGTAAAGCAGTTCAGCTTGGGACAGAGAGGGTATACTGTCTGCTTCAGGCTCAGAAGATGCCAGTCTTCTTCTTCTTCTTCGCGTTCACCAGCTGTAAACTCTGGCAGAAGGTTCTGGTTGCTCGTCCACTACTGAACTGCAGTCCTGCTCCAGAACCTGAGTGTTGCGTGTGCATCAGTTTGACAGATCTCATTCTCTTGAATACAGACTGTTGGTTCCTTGCCTCTCCGGCAGATGCACTCCGACTTCAAAGGAAGCTCCCCAATTAGTCGACTCTTACGATATGCTTTTGGGGAGGCAGTGGGTCTATTCTTGTTTTCCCGACAATGGGGCCTCGGAACCCACACAGGGGTGCCAGTCTTCACTCTAGCATGAGGCTAGAAATTATTTGCAAGAACCATTAGTGCTAAGTGATATCACATGTCCCTCTGATATCCTCGGTAGTGAGTTTGGAGACCTAGTTAGTTGAGATAAGCACCAAAGCAATGAGGTCCTGTAAGCAATTTGTGCACATTCTTTTTTTTTTTCTTTACTTTCACCGGCTGTAAACTCCGGCAGAAAGTTCTGGCTGTTCGTCCACTTCTGGACTACAGTCCTGTTCCAGAACCTGAGTGTTGCGTGTGCATCCGTTTGACAGATCTGACTAATTTGTATGTAGACTGTTGGTTCCTTGCCTCTCAGGCAGATGCACTCCGACTTTGAAAGAAGCTCTAAATTAGTCGACTCTTACGACATGCTTTTGGGCAGACAGTGGGTCTATTTTTGTTTTCCCTATAAAAGGGCCCCAGAACCCACACGGGGAGTTGTGTACATTAAAAATCCGCTCCCCTGTGGTCTGCACATGAACGCTCTCACTTCCTGTATGTGCTGAGAGGCCCCTGTTATATTCCTCCGTGCCTATCCAACATCCCCTACATTTGTGTCGTTAAAAAAAAGTGACAAATGATGGGTGTTTCCTTTGTTTAAGAGAACTATATTCCTCTGAGATTAGAATGCATCTGCCTGAGAGGTGAGGAACCAACAGTCTGCATACAAATAAGCCAGGTCTGTAAAAACGATGTGTGTAAAGGTAAAGTCGGGAGATGTGAACCAGCGTCATTGCACACGGTTATAAACCATAAGGGCTCTGCCACCAGTACGGACAGCTGATAAGAATTGTTCGCCTGTTAAACGATGTTCGTACAAAACTCAGGACCTGGAACAAAACCACCAAAGTCCAGAAGTGGACGAACAACCAGGACTTTTTGCCAGGGTTTACAGCTGGTGAAAGCAAACAAACAAATCTGACAGCACAGGGAAATTGAGAAATTGCAACAAATAGAATGTGTAGCTTAGGATTTGCGAACAAGCTTTGTAATGATGGGGTGCCGGGCTCAATCCCAACTGCGGATGATTTATCTTGTGCCGGTTTTGGCAGTGTACCGAGAGCTGACCGTTCGGGAAGCAGTGGCAAACTGCTAAAGATAAATTTTGCCTGCAAAAACCACAACAGCCAAAAAATGCTGGGGTTGGATCTGCGACCTCCTATAAAGGATATGCAACTAACTTAGACAATATAAGTCTGGTAAATAATCTCGAGGACAGAATCCTTATCAATCACATACCCCGAGATTAGCAGTTAATATTCTGTGAGAAAATTTGGCTCTCTTCTCTTGATTCTTCTTCTTCTTCTTCAGCATTCCGAGCCCTTGAGGTTTATTGCTGCAGATATCACCCGCCTGCATTCATCTCTCTGGTTGGCCTTCTTCAGCATTCCGAACCCTTGAGGTTCATTGCTGCAGATATCACCCGCCTGCATTCGTCTCACTGGTTGGCCTTCTTCAGCATTCTGAGCCCTTGAGGTTCATTGCTGCAGATATCACCCACTTTCATTCATCTCTCTTGCTGGCTTTCTTCAGCATCCGAGCCCTTGAGGTTCATTGCTGCAGATATCACCCACCTGCATTCATCTCTCTGGTTGGCCTTCTTCAGCATTCCGAGCCCTTGAGGTTCATTGCTGCAGATATCACCAGCCTTCATTCATCTCTCTGGTTGACCTTCTCTTTCCATTTGGTGACACCAAGTGTTTGCAGGTCTGCCTGAACATTATCTCCATAATCTTCTTGGTCTAGTCTACCACCATTCATCTCCCTTATGTCTTTTCTCTTGATTCGTTTAGTTTATTTTAGTTTTCTAATCATTGGCATGTTTTTTTTTTTAATTACATATCGGATAGTTATTCTCAACTTTCATTTGTCCTATCTGCAGATTAATCGGGTACGTGAACAGAACGTCATTGGGAACTCGGCACGGCATAATGGTCTACGCTTAAAGCTGAAGTCACTTTTTGTTAATGGCCTCTTGGACGGCACATACAATGAAAGCGATGAGCTTAGCAAGCATGATCATTTGTGACGCCGTGTTTGTGTGTGTGTACTCATTGCAGCAGAGGAGATGAAATGTTTAGTAATGGTTGATAAAATGGAATATTTATTGACTGATGAAAATAAGTAAGGTGTTTAGTAAGAGTCGAGGAGGTGAAATGTTTAGCAATATTTGATAACATGAGATGTCTGTAATGGAAGAGGAGTTGAAGTGTTTAATAATAGTTTATGAGATGAGAGATGAATTGTTTATTGATCAGAAATGAAATGTTAAGTAATTATCAAAGGGATGAAATATTTATTGATATATCTAAGATCTCGGCTGCTAGTATGTTCCACTTATCGGGCGTAGAAGCACTCCATGGACCAAGAAACATCTAGAAAATATTGTTCCAATTTGTAGAAATCAATTCAGTTTTGTTTGCAGTCTGTCTCATTAAAGGTGATGGCTGCTGTGGTCTATCAGACGTTTATCTGTGTGTGCCTGCGTGCGTTCAGTGTTTGTATGCTAGTTCAGATTAACAGTTTGTTTGCTTTTTGCATTTATCTCGTGTTGAGTTCTAGTTTTTGATTTGGTGACGGAAGCTTTCACTGTAGACATATGATATTGTGCAGATGTGGGACCATGTACTTTCAGCCTTCTGGTGACTTGAAATTAGGATTCTTTCTGTTTCATTTTGTTGTTGTTGTTGTTATGTTGGGATGGATATTTTTTTGACTTGAGGAGAGCCTAGGCATGTTTGTCTGCTGACCTGAAGGTCAAGTGTTCAAATCTGGATCTTCTGTGGTTTTTGAAGAAAAAAAATGTGTTTTTTTACGTGGCTGCCATATCAGCCCATCCTTAAATGGGTATCAGATTATATCCTGGGAAGTAAAAGCGGCCGGCATGATGTTGACCACATCATCCACCGAGAGCTAATTGCTGTATAAAAATATAGGTCTACCACTAAATGCCCGATGTGCCCGAGGTATGAAAGGGTCTTTTACTACACTGTATCCAGGGCTTACACATATACAAATAGAAAATAAATTTATAAAAATAAATTAAATAGAAATCAGTATTTAAAAAACAACATAATCAAATGCTAACCTAGTACCTTTCTCTTTCATTGCAAAAGTCCATAAAAAATAATCTTATTGTCTTCCGTAGCTCAGTTTCCATAAATGGGGAGAGAATTCTATAAAACACATTTTCTATGGTTGATACAAGCAGAAGGGCAAAAGGCGTAACTTTGAATCTCTCTCTCCAGGGCCCTTTACAAGGTTATTGTAAAAACAGACTGATTAGGGGTTTGTTGAAATTGTATGTGTTGGGCTGAAAGGCACACAGATAACACAGCCTTTCTGTAAACCACAACACATGTCAACCTCCCTTTTACAAAGATCAATGCTGAGAAGGGAGAAGAAAGATTGTACTCTTTGACCACATCAGGCTGTCAGCAGGATTTGATATCAACTGCCGAGCCAATCAGCTTACGGCTTTCATTTGTCATCTCCCACACCAAGCCAATCAGCTTACGGCTTTCATTTGTCATCTTCCACACTGAGCGAATCAGCTTACGACTTTTATTTGTCATCTCCCACACCGAGCCAATCAGCTTACGACTTTCATTTGTCATCTTCCACACAGAGCGAATAAGCTTACGACTTTCATTTGTCATCTCCCACAAGGAAGCAAATCAGCTTACGACTTTCATTTGTCATCTCCCACATCGAGCCAATCAGCTTACGACTTTCATTTGTCATCTCCCACAGCGAGCGAATCAGCTTACGACTTTCATTTTTCATCTCCCAAACAGCGAATCAGCTTACGGCTTTCTTTTGTCATCTCCCACAGCGAGCGAATCAGCTTACCGTTTTCATTTGTCATCTCCCACAGTGAGCGAATCAGCTTACGGCTTTCATTTGTCATCTCCCACAGCGAGCGAATCAGCTTACGGCTTTCATTTGTCATCTCTCAACCCGAGCGAAACAGCTTACGCTTTCATTTGTTATCTCCCACAGCGAGCGGATCAGCTTATGACTTTCATTTTTCACCTCCCACACTGAGCGAATCAGCTTACGACTTTCATTTGTCATCTCCCATATTGAGTGAATCAGCTTACGACTTTTCATTTGTTCTGATTTTTTTCTCTATCATTTGGTGATATTTGTTGCCTTCTATTAAAAAACCACATTTCTGCTGTGAATAGATACTTTTCAGCCCCCTTGATACCAAAGGATTATAGACACAATTTTCAGGCTTTTGAATATAAATTATGTAGACGCATTTTAGAAATTACTTATTTAGAACATAAAACTGACAAATTTGTCAGAAATAAATAAATTTGCTGGACATCAAGAGCCTCTCTTGGCATTGGTGAGACATCGCAAGCTAGCTTGGGCGGGCATGTGGTGAGACATTATTCAATTGCAAAGACTACTCTGTGGAGGGGTGTAAAGAAGAACCTGTAATGACAACATCAAGAGATGGACAGGACTGAGTTAGCATACACTTGTTCATCAAACGGAAGACAGATAAAAATGGCGGGTTTTATGTGTTAGTGCTTCCATCAATACACCTCCACAACCCGAACGGGTCAAGGGTTATGTTTATGATATAGACAAAATAATCCCTGCGGCAGATTCAAATATAGAGGTGTGAAGTATTAAAGCTGTTAATGTTCTTAACGACTGTATTGTTAGGTGAGATGATCCAGTTATTACCCAGAAATGTTGAGTATACATTTAAGAGAGAAAAGGACGGTCAAGAGGGGAAAATACTAGTCTGAATCTGCAGACCCTGGCTCTGACCCTGACCATACAAATGTGTTTGTTTATCCGAGGTCAATGAATGCTATAATAGCAGCAGGTGTGGTACCAGGAAGAGGAGGCAGGGGCTGACCAAAACACAGATGGGCACAGGAGATAAGCGACTCCTTGTATATGAAAGTGTACGGGGTGAGAGAGCAAGTTTCTTTCAGACTGATGAGAATGAAGTTCTGCAAACTATCTGCTACCTGATGATGAAATGAAGGCTAGTTGCAATGAGAACAATGACCTTTACCCCTCAGTATTCTTAACATCTAAAACTTATATCTAGTAAGAACTATTTTTCGGCCAAGTTGTAGTCGGAGTGCATCTGTCTGAGCGGCAAGGAACAACCAGCTGCACACAAATAAGCCAGTGAATGGATATACGCACAAAACTCAGGCTCTGGCACCGTGCCAAAGTCCAGATGGATGAAAAGTCAGGACTTTCCGCCGGAGCTTACAGCCGGTAAACAAAGAACAAGAACAGAAGTGGGTGAACAGTCAGAAATGTCTGCCAGAATTTACTGCAGTGAACGCCATCAAGAAGATGAGATAGAATAGCTGCCGGAAGAGCAAGAAGAGATCACATAAAACAAAATTTAAAAGATGGAATTAAAAGAAGAATTAAACTAGCCATAAAATTTATTATAGAACGCTGATGTGATGTTTTGGCCAATTGATGAAACTGCCTTGTGAGGCGCGGCTGGCTGAAGGACAGGAAAGCTTGGCCGGAGAACTAGGTTTGAAACCTCTGTAAGATTATCTAGGCTTTTTCTGGTTAGTGCAAAAAATGAAACCATAACCTCATACACTAGGTGGCAACAGCTCTAGCTGTGCGGCCTTAACTCTTTAATGTTTAAGGCCCCCTTTACCTGCACCACAAAAGTGGTGAATACCGGCTGTTTTTGGCAGATAAGAATACCTTGTTACCAAGTGCCATTGAGAACCACATGGAAAGAGAAACTATTCACAGGGCAGGTGGAAGACCGCACAGAAGATGGGAACAAAGGCACAAGATCAGAATTAAAGAAATGAAGATGAACTTACACATGGCATTAGAACAGTGGTTCTCACCCTGTAGGTTGCGACCTCTTTGGGGGGAAACGAACCTTTCACAGGAGTCGTGACCATCAAAAAACACATTCACTGAATTTAAGAAGTAGCAATGAAAATAATTTTATAGTCGGGGGTCACTACAACATGAGGAACTGTATTAAAGGGCAGCGGCATTAGAAAGGTTGAGAACCTCTGTATTAGAAGAAGCACACAAAAGAACCTTACATCTCCCTCCCAAAACTTGATGAGGTAACTGGAGAAAGAATAGAAGATGATTCCTAAATTCCTCCTGGCACTACCAGTAATGGTACAAATTCTGTCAAAATCAGATTGTAAATCCATTTTATGAGATTGGACTGACCCTAGTTTGAGAACCACTAGCATAAATGTATCACCCTCTTTTCTGTGTGTGTGTGAACCACTATCAATGGATGTCAGTAGATTGCTCATTTGCGCTTCATTTGCTCTTTGTATGCACCTGGTTGTGTTGCTGTTTTAAAATTAAGGAATGGTTGCTTTGCTGTAGGTTTGCTATATACAGAGCCAATACTTTTTTTTACACATATTTCAAGAGCTTTTTTCCCTGCAGATATTTAATATGACTATGCCATTTTGTTTGTGAAGTACGGTCACTCATTATCATTCATTGAAAGCAAGAAGAGAAGTAGATTATCTAGGACACACTAGACAGTTGGTCTCCAACTTCTTAGTATATGGCAAGACCTCCCCGAGTATACGGCAAGACCCCTAAGCTACCTTAAGTATATGTCAAGACCAACTTTGCTGCCGCTCCCCAACATAACAAAATGTTATTAACCCTACGAGACCTGAGGCCCTGAACCTAACTGTCCCTATAACCTGAGCTCCTGGGCATTTACATGACAAAACCAACATGATGTACACAAAAACTAGTTACATGCAAACAAGTGGTTAGAATAAGATAAAACTTGGAGACATTGTAGAAAATAGGTTTACCTTTCATCTAGCGCCAATCTTCCCCCCTTTGTGTGCCAACCCACCTAGTAGGATCAGTCTTGTTTCACAAAGTAAGCACCAGATGTTGCTGTTTGAGGGACATGCTCCCTTCTCTTACTATCGATCTAGTTTTAAATCTATAATTTTCATAATTCTCCTCCTCACTCTAGCTCTCACTGACTGTGTCACTTCAACTGGGTACGCATTC